CTCTCTCTCTCTCTCTCTCTCTCTCTCTCTCTCTCTCTCTCTCTCTCTCTCTCTCTCTTTCGTATATATAATATGTGTGTGTGTGTGTATACTTCTTTTTACTACAGAGTGAGGACCAGTTGCACCATAGTTACCATCAAAAGTGAGGTCTTTGAGGACCTCTTCAATGTCCTGACTTTGTTTGCAGCTCCACTGTACTTTACTGGTTAGGTTTAGAGGTATGGTGTGAATTAAGTTTTTCTTCAGGTTAGTGTTAACTATAGTAAGTAAATAAGTAAGTAAAAGTTTATTTATATAGCACCTTTCACAGAAAAGGATTTCACAAGGTGCTGTACATTCATTATCAGAAAGAAAAAGCAATTAAATCATAATAACTGTACAAATTATACACGCAATACATTCAGTATTTGAAACAAAAACAAAAAGGAGTTCAGTTAATCTCTCACCCTTATAGATGGAGGGGATGGATACTAGACTGGAATAACAAAGGGCTTATAAACTCAAGTTGTGAGGTGTTGAATATATTCAGTTGAATGCTTGAGTGAAAAGGTGTGTTTTTAGTTGTTTTTTTAAAGGAGTCTGTGTTATCAAGAGATCTTAGATAGGGCGGAAGGGTGTTCCACAGTTTGGAAGCCATTGAGGAAAAGGCACAGTCACCACGGGTCTTGAAGCGAGTACGGGGGACCAAGAGAAGATTCTGGTCTTGTGAGCGCAAGTTGCGTTTGGGGTTATAAGGTGAGAGAAGACCGGAGATGTAGTTCGGYGCTTGACCGTGTAGAGCTCTAAAAGTGAGAACCAGGATTTTGAACTTGAGTCTGAATTGTACAGGTAGCCAGTGGAGGTCTGATAATATAGATGTGATGTAGGAGAATTTGGATGTTCTAGTTAGGAGTCTAGCAGCAGAGATTTGAACAAGTTGGAGCCAGTTTAATTGTTTCTGATTTAAGCAGGTGAACAGGCTGTTACAGTAGTCGACGGGTTGAGATAAAGGCATGGATTACCATTTCCAGGTCAGAGGCAGACAGGAGTGGGCGAAGTTACGAGATATTACGGAGTTGAAAATAGCATGAGGTAACTAGATTTTTGACGTGTTTATCTAGTGACAGATCTGAATCAAAACTGACTCCCAGATTTCGTATGCTCTTTTTAACAGTCGGCCCCAGAGAGCCCAGTTGTTCTTTTATCTGAGCGATCTTATTTTCAGGTGCCAGGATCAGAGTATCAGTCTTGTCACGATTAAGGATTAGCAGTATAATTGCAGATCATCAGCTCAGAAGTGATAGGAGACGTCATGAAAATTGTCAATGATCTGGCTTATGGGGTGGATGTAGAGGAGGAACAGGAGGGGCCCCAGGATTGAACCCTGTGGTACTCCACAACTGAGTTGGGCTGGTCCAGAATAAGTTTGATTTTGAAGTACTGAGAAAGAGCGGTCGGAGAGGTATGAATTAAACTAGTTTAATACAGCACCCGATATCCCAGTGTTTCTCAGGTTGTGTAGTAGAATGGTATGATCAACAGTGTCAAAGGTCTAATTGGAGCAGAACGGTGTAGAAGCCACTATCAGCAGACATAGTATGTCATTTGGTACACGTAGAAGAGCAGTTTCAGTGGAGTGAAGTTTGCGGAAGCTCGACTGGAAAAAGGTCGTGAATATTATTTTCATCCAGGTAAGCAGTAAGTTGTAATGATACAATTTTCTCCAAGACCTTAGACAGAAAAGGTAATTTAGAGATGGACTGGTAGTTGTTGAGATCTGAGGGGTTGACGGACTGCTTTTTTAATTTGGGTTCAACGATTGCTTTTTTGAAGTTGCCTGGCACACACCCAGATGTTAAGTGAGAGGTTCAGTAGGTCAAMAAGTGAGGGCCCCACCACGTCATAAACAGTTTTTAAAAAGCTGGGTGGTAGAACGTCAGCGGGGGAGGTTGAGGACTTCATTTTCTGGATTACAGTTCCAAGGTATTCTGAGGTTACAAGGTCAAAGGAAGACCACRATTGCGTGGGGCTGGCGTCAGGTCTGATGGGTAAGTCTGATGGAGCAGAAGCTGGTTTAAGAGGGATGGTACTCCGGATGTTCTCGATTTTAGCAGTGAAGTGTGTGAGGAAGTTGTGGCAGGTGGGAACTGAAGATGTGTATGGGGAGGGGACGCCTGGCGAGACTACCGATTCAATAGTGTTGAATAAGGTTTATGGATTTTTCTTATAGCAGGTGATCAATTGAGCAAAATATTTTGACCTGGCATCTATCATGGACTGCAGTGAAAGTCTTAAATCTTTAAGGTATAGTCTGTGGACCGTTAGTTGTGATGATTTCCATTTTTGCTCTGCCTGTCTACATGCACGTTTAGCAGTGCGAATTTCCTCATTAATCCAGGGTACAGATTTTTTTTAACACTAGAGCTTGAATTAGCTTTACAGTTATTAAAAACAGATGAAAATTGTTGGTCTAATAGCTGTGCAAAAACCTCTGGCTGTGTTATTTGTTAGAGTGGAGGGGTCAAAATAGGCTGAAAATTTGTCAGCAGCATCCTGAATTTGCCTCTGTGGTCATTCTCTGGGGGGAGGGGGCTCTGAGATCACATTTACATTAAAGAACATGGCATAATGGTCACCAATTTGCAAATCATCAAAAGAGACATTGTTTACAGTCAGTCCCACAGAGCAGATAAGGTCRAGAATGTGTCCCTTTTGATGAGTGGGGGCTGAGASATGTTGAGMCAGATTAAAGTTTTCTAAAATAGAAATAAACTCCATGGTTTCATTACAGTCTGTCGCATCAAAGTGAATATTAAAGTCACCAAGCAGTAAAAGGTGGTCCAGTTTTATGACGGAGGATAAAAAAAAATCACCAAAGTCTTTAAGAAAGTTTGAAGTGGGTCCCGGAGGGCGATAAATCAAGATGCAGTAGAAGGGATGAGAAGATCCAACTTTAACAGTCTGTGATTCAAACGTGGTAAAAGTCCTGGTGCTCACCAGCCTGCAGGTTGAATTGTTGTCATGTACGACTGCGAGGCCGCTGCCCCGCTTCTCCATCCGCGGCGTCGCGGACTATAGACCAGTAATGGTTTATTTTAGGGTAAATGTCTGGGTGAGGCATAAATACAGTTACAAAAATGAATGGAAGTCAGTATAATGTCCTCAGTTTGATGCAAATACAAGGCTGTGTGTGTGTGTGTGTGTGTGTGTGTGTGTGTGTGTGTGTGTGTGTGTGTGTGTGTGTGTGTGTGTCTCGGCCATCTTAAATCCTACAGTTTATCAGATGTACAGATTACAAATATTTCAAGTGATTCATTAGATGTTTTGACACAAACAGACTTTCTGAGATAACTCTCACTCCTGTTTGCTGCAGGTAAGATACTGACTGCTCATAAACACGATGTAAAAAACAAAAAAGTGAAACTATTCCTTTTAATGACACATTTTGGCTTTAAAATCACTTTTTTTTTCTCCTAAAAGCTTTCTGCAGTAGTTTATTGCAGTTTTATTTATTTATTTATTGTTGCTCACAATTAGTTTTAACGATTGCACCAGCTCTGCTAGATAGCTCCTCGCAAACTGACCAACAACCGCCCTCATCGTCGCCGCGGCTGCTGAGCCAGCCGCCGTGCAACGACCTGCCGGCACGCCTGACCGGGCGCCACTTCCTGGGCAAGAGAGAGGGTGACTGGAGCTGCAAGGTGTGCTCGCAGCACAAGAGGAGGAGGAGGCCGGAGGATGAGGCGGACGGGAAGAAGCCGAAGATGCTCGACGGGGAGAAGAGGAAGGAAGAGGAGGAGAATTCTGTCCATGAGGATGAGGAGGAGGAGGAGTCCGACTGTGGCACGATGAAGAGGCAGACGTCGTATTACTGTAAGACGTGTTCAGAGGAGCCGGGCCTCTGTCCCGTCCCGTGTTTCGAACTCTACCACACGCAGCTAATCTACAAAACAACTCCCGGACTGGAGAAACAAGGTGAGCCCCTTTCAGTCACCGTTCAGTAAAGTTATCTAATTTAATCAAAAAAAGAGAGAAAAATCTTTATGTTTTCACTGACTTCTTTCGAGGGTCGAGTTGGTCACCCAGTTTTTCTCTCCACAGCTTCCTGACGAGGCGTTTCCAGAAGACGAGACGGCGCAGTTCATTTAATTAAAAAAAGTTACAAAAACTACATTAAAATATTTGTTCCAACACTACTCTGTATTTATTAATTAAATACACTCCTCTAAAAGTGTTGGAACAGTGAGACCAGAGCCTTTCTGTTTACAACTGCAGGTGTTTACATCTGGATTAGATACTTAAATAAATTGTTATCCCTGTGTTTCCTCTTTTGCAGCTAAAATGCAGCTCTGTTTAGCTTGAAAGCAGCTTGAATTCTGTCATTTCTGATCATTAAACGCTGATTTTTGTTGTCAGAGTGAAGAAAAGCAAACTTTTTGCTTTAATGTTGTCAAACTTTATAATGTTTTCCGTTATAAGAAACWTTTTTATCCTTTTTGTGAGTTTAGCTAATGCTGCTTTAGCTATTTGTTTGTACTGCTCAGATCTAAAATAAGCAATCAAACACATTCTCACAGGTGTGTGGTGCTTTTCTTCAAGGCTTGAATACTTTAAGGCCTGATTCTTAGAGCTGACTAATAAAAAAAATCTAATCTGAAGAATAAAGGCGTCAGGTTGCATGAATCAATAAAGCCACTAATGTAAACACGCTGTTACCTGCTGCATCTTTCTGCTGAACACAAATATGTCACGTTTCACACGCACCAACAGAGAGCTGAATGTGTGTTTAGATTTAAATATTTTGCTGTTAAGCTGGAGAGAAATTTATAAAACACTAACTTGTGTTGACTTTTTACAACACTAGATTAGAGCATCACATTTGTGTAAATTGCTCTATGCAGAACTTTTGAAGCCTGTAAAGATGATCGTTTGGTGAAAATGACGAGTYGACTCGACCAAATAATGAGCAGTTTTGGATTCAGATGTCAGCTTTAACTTTTACTTTCCACCGGAAACSTGCGGCGACTTGAACATCTCATCTTGACGTCCATGTGGAAGTTCAGCTGATATATTTATGTTCTTTAATTTAGTGTTTTTTCTGTTGTTGTGAACACTGGATCAAGGTTCTCCAAGTCTTTGAGCCTTCTCTCTAACACGAGTGCTGTTTTGTAAAACAACTGGGTTTTTTTTTTGTGTAAGAGTTATTCTGAGTTTTGGTT